ACCTGGGGTTGCTGCTGCTGAGTCATTGATTGCTGCTGCCATGATCTGATCGTTAGTGTTGATGAAGTAATCAAATCCTGACCAGCTTCTGTATTAGCTGGAAGGCACAGGCTGGTGGCAATAAGGGATTAGAAGTGCCAGAAAACTGGCAAAACAGAATTAGTTTAATTCTTCCCCTAAGCAACCTCATTTCCACCCCCCCCCCCCCCCCAAAAAAAAAGAATATAAAATTGTTGTAGTATTTAACCCACTGAAAATGAAAAACATCACTGAGGGAACTTCCTTGGAAAGCAGATAACAGCTGCAGAGAAACCATTCCGTCAGGAACTCAGTTTTCTGCTTAAAAAAAAAAATAGGGAAAAAAGCAGATTGACAGAAAAGTTTTGGCTCATCCTGGTGCTTCTGCAGCGGGGTGGGCAGTGTTCCCTACCCAGCTAATTGCAGCCTAATAGTAGTCATAATTTTAACTGCTGGACTGTGTACATAGAAGACAGCTCCGATGTCCAGGTATTATAAAATGCACTCATAAAAAAATAAAAATTGAACCATCTTGCTTAATTAATCCCACTCTACAGCATAATAAGTTGCTGATGGAGATGTATTTGATTTAATTATGACTTATTTAACAAATCCGGCTGGCGCTTTGGATTTAGAGTTGAGCCACAGCCAGTATTTCCTAGACTTATTTATATAATTTAGTTTTATTTTAGTTACTATTTTAACCCTGCAATAACTCTTCCAGCTGCCATGCAGAGCATCTTTTCCTCTCCCAGATCCAGGAACAGGAAGAAGTGGCTTAAGTATAACTGCAATAACTCTTCCAGCTGCCATGCGGAGCATCTTTTCCTGTCCCGGGATCCAGGAACAGGAAGAAGTGGCTTAAGTAAGGGCAACTTCTAGGCAGTTAGGGGAAAATAAAGTCTTCTCATGAGGTATATCTAACAGTGTTGTAACATTATGATGATATACTAACATTATTGTTTGATATATTGATATATATAAAATGATATATATTAACATTATAATTTGAAAAGGGATATTCAGCTGGGGACAGCTTCCGAGGTGCTTTCCGTGGCTTTTTGCCTGGTCTCATTTGTTTCCAGGGCATTTCCCTCCCCTGGTTCGGTGTTTGTCTTGAACCCTCTGTGCCCCCTGCATTCCCTGCCAAGGAATCCTGCCCCAGTGCTTCCCGGGGCTCCGGCTCTTCTGAGTCACTCACAACCTCCCATGGCTTCACATCTTCAGCCCGTTTCATCTGAACCTCTTTGACTGCCCCATAAATGTTTATAAAGTGATTTAATGTACACCTACAGGCTAGGAAAAATGTCAGTATTCCTGTTTCATAGATGATGAAAGTGCAGAATAGAGAGGAAAAGCAAATAGTGGCAGGTTTCCTGACCAGAGTCTTCTGCTTGAAGCATTCCATTGAGCTTCCTGTGGATGCAGAGCAGCTCCCCCAATGACCTTCAGTATATTGTTGATTCGCCTGATTTAGGCAAATGAAATTGTCAGGAGGTACTTAGCTGGACAGTCAGGCTGCCGAGATGTTTCCATACTCTTGGTTTTGCTTTAATTGCCTTAATTTGTTGCCTTAATTTAATTGCTAGAACGAATCAAGCCTCGATTACGGTGATAATTAAAGCCCTGGCCGGGACTCAGGGCAGCTCTGGACCCCACGGGGTGAGTTAGCACCTGGGAAAACCCCCCAGGACCCAGAGCTGGTGCCAGAGCCCGAGTCCAGCCGCGGCATTCCCAGCAATTCCGAGCACTTCCAGCCTGCTCCGAACCTACGCCTGGAGCTTTATCCATGTGCAGGAGCGGAGGATTAGAGGTCAGTTCTCTGCTGCTGTAAACCAGCGTGTGTAAGCACAACATCAGCACTTGCTTGATCATAGAATCATTATGGTTGGAAAAGATCATCGAGTCCAACCATCAGCCCAGCACTGACAAACCTGCCACTGACCCATGTCCCTCAGCACCACATCTGCCCGGCTTTGAAATCCCTCCAGGGATGGGGACTCCACCACTGCCCTGGGCAGCCCATTCCAAGGCTTCACAACCCTTTTGGTGAAGAAATTTTTCCCAATATCCATCCTAAACCTCCCCTGGTGGGGAAGAACAACTTGAGGTTGTTCAGTATACGCCCAAGACTCTTGCACAGAGCTCGGGCACCACAGGGTTCCAGCTGGAGACCTGTGGGGCTATTGGCAAATGGAGCTCTCTGCTCTTGGCAGGATGTTCTTATCGTGCGTCCAGAGTGTGTGTCTGCTCGTGCACCAACACCCCCCCGGTGTCATTTCCTCTGCCTTCCCCTCTGCTCTCAGGCAGTGCAGTAGCTCAGAGCCTTGGCACGTACCAGGGGCTCGGTGAAGTCCCCAGGAGGACGGGGAACCCAACGCAGACTCAACACGTGGAAGAAAAATAGCAGAAAAACTGCCTTCCCATGGGGAAACACCCAAATCCTTTCCCTTTTAGCCCTGAAGGTGCCGAGTCTGCTCTACGGAGATCGTTTTTGATGGGTTCTTGGTAAATAAGTTAGTTTGCCCCCTCCCAGCCTGCTCTCCCCGCCCTGGGAGCTGGCACCGTTGGTAAGAAATGCTGCGACTGGCCCGGGCAGATAGGCGTGATGCCAAGACAAGATGCCTTTTGGTTGACCTAGGAAGAGTAAAAACGTTGGGCTTAGCATGGAGGGGAAAAAAAAAAAAAAAAGACCTTCTTGGAGGAAGTTATGAAAAAAAAGCAAAAAAAAAAAAATCAGACAAATAGGGCTGTGAACTTGGCTGCTGTGCAGCAGCGGGTGCCCAAAATAGCTGCGAAAAACCGAGCTGCCTCGCGGTGAGCGGAGCTTGAGAGAGCTGGGGCTTCTGCTGCAGCGAGAGGAGCAAAGGAAGGAGGGGGGGATGGACATGGTGGGGAGATGATGCCACATCTCCGGGGGAAGAGCTCGCTCTGTCCCCACCTGCTCGATGGAGCACCTTGCGTGGTTGAAGGTCAACTTGCGTTTATTGGCTTGTTTTTAGAGGAGGGTTCAAAAGGTGTTCGCCCGGACTTTGGGAAACAAAGCAAAACACAACAGCACTGTAAGCAAACAAAACACGTTCTCCACAGGAAATTTTGACATAATTGCTGTGACTCAACTGATTAATATTAGCTGTCTTACATAACTGTTGGTCTCAACGCTTTCTGCTGGTCTTGTGAGAGCGCTGCTGGGCGTTAACAGAGGTAGGAGAATGTCAGGTATGAAGCTGAAAATCCGAATTTTCAGGTTTTTCAGTCACCCTTTCACTCTACAGCGTAAGGAGGGTCTCCACTGAACCCCACTCTCGGGACAGTCACCCACCAGGGTGCTCCTTAACACCAGGGCAGAGTGCATGGGAAGCAGGGTTTCATCCCTTGGGAACCGTCTCATTAGTGGTGATGAACATCCATGGGGTAGCACCAGGTTGTAATTAAAGGTTAAATAGATTGTGTTATAAGCAATGTAGTCTGGCTGAGGACTCTGACCGCAGAGGTGGAGTCAGGTGATCACTTAGAAACCATTTCTAAATTACTTAGAAGCTTCACGGCTGGATGGTAGCACAGGTGGGCACGGGTCCCAGTCCCGCCGAGCAACAATTCAGTATTTCAGCTCATTTCAACAACTGAAACATTTTCTTTTTATTTTATATTTATATGTGGTGATTTAAGCACAATTCAAATCTGCTTGTGGGAAATTCCCTTCTGATCTAAGTCACGTTTCCTGAGACAAAAGCGCTGTGGTGACAAAGTGCCAAACCGCTCAGATTTCAACGTTTGTGTTAGTTATTGGAGACAAACGATGCTCTGCACATTAAAGTGTTTGATTTCATCTTGTTTCATGATGTGAGGGAGTGATCCCTGTGTGTCCATGTGCTTGTTATTGCCAGTAAGTGGTGGTGGCTGGGTGCGAGGTGCAGGTGACAGATGCCATGAGAGCGGTGCCAGTTTGTATGACTTCCCATTAGCTGTATAAACAAATAGGACTGTCACAGGCCACTACTATTGTGCAGGGAAATCCAGCCTAAACATGGCCTGAAGCCCTGTAAATCCAGGGTAGAAATGCAGCTGCTTCCCAGGAGGATGCATGAGTCAGTCCCAGCTGAAGGCAAGCGGCTGAGAAGCCATCAAGCTTCTCCAAAGGCTTGACCTGGAGTTTACATCAGCTTTTCCCACCATTCTCTTTAGTGGCTGTGCCTTTTGTTAATGGCAGAGTAACTACTCCAACTAGCTAAAAAAAAATTATATATATATATATATATATAAATATGGCCTTTGAAACTGTTTACCCTCTGACTGAGGAAAGTTCATCAGCTGTTGTGAGCCACCTTCACAGGTAATACAGCTCAAAGCCTTGGAGGCTGTCCTTTAAATGGCAGGCATGCTGTGTTTCATCTCTAAACATTTTGTGTCGGTAAATAAGTTGTAAAATAGGAATATGAGTGATTGTGATGTAGAGGACAACAAGAGGAGGAAGAGGAGCTGGGCTGAGGAACCCAAAGAACGTGCATGTGCTGTAGGACCTCTGTGTTCATGTGTGAAAGATCTATATTAAAGTGCCCTGAAAATGGTACCATCACTTTGGATTTAAAGACCTTGTTTAAGCAGGTGGTGGATGCACCTGGTTGCGTCTGCATGAGAAATACTGATAAGAGACCTTAAAGAAGGGGTTGCTTTTTTATATCACCTGTCAAAATCGTTATTCCGACATCACCGACTAGAGGCTTTGCAAGAATTTGTTCTTCCATTTTTCCAGTATTATTCTGCCTGATGGTTGTTGCTTATTAATATTGCTCAAGGAGTTTTGCATCATGCGAAGGGTGTGTTTTGCACTGGAGGGGGAACGTCCAGCTGAGTGTTGACAGGACACCATTAAGCAGCACCTTCGCTTCTCTGTTAAAGAGAATAATCTGAAATACAAAGTATTTAGAGGACAAGAACAATCTGACTTACTGTTTGTTATTTACGTTCCCTTTTCCAGGGAGTGAAAATGCTGGAAATAAAGGAGAGGAGCTACTTTGCAGAATTTCCAAAATTTCAAATTTGTAGAAATTTGCCCCAGAAAGAGGCCGCTGGTGAAGCTGGGAACTCATCCGTCCCCCTGGTGTCACAGGGAGAGGCCAAAGCTGGAACCAGTTCCCGAAGCATTCGTGATCTGGTGGCTCACCAGGACATTGGTTCGAGACACGAGACTCCAATCCATGAGTTTTGGGAGATGCTCCTGTGGCCACGTGGACCATCTCGAGTAGTGTCTGTGTCTGTCTGTCGGCCAGGAGCTGGTCCATCTGTCCGGTCCTGTCGGCGGTCCCATGTGCTGGAGAGGATGCAGGTATGAGACTGGGCTTTTCCCCCACCAAATAAAACACTTTAAATCAAGTTCTGTGCATAGGTTAAAAAAAAAAGAAGAAAAATATCTGATTACAGGTGCTCAGAGACTCTCACTAGGCTGCCTTGGGGGTGATGGGGAGAGTTTCTGTACCATTCCTCTTGTTCTGTCATGTTGCATTTTGGATTGGGGCCCCGTGTAAACACTGTAGATGTATCAGCTGTTGGACTTCTTCCAGACTGCTCCTCTTCCAGCAAGGAAAAAAATAATATATTTCTTTTTTAATGTGCAAGATACCAGGACATAAAGACTTGGGGTGACTTGTTTGAGTTTTCCATCATGCCAGTGCTGAACTTGATGGCTTCGTATGACAGAATTTGGAAATTTATCACAAATAAGTGGTATTTTCAAGTGGCCGTCCATCATCAAAGTATTTGTCATGAAATAAGGATAGACTTTTGGATTCTGATGTTATTTTTTACACACTTAGCACTGGTGTATAATCTTAATTACACCACTTCAATTAATTCTCAATCACATGAGAAAAAAATAGGGCAGCGTTGGGCCCATTTCATTTTTGTCCAGATTGACAGAATGGTGTATCCAGTCAGCAAGGAGTCTCAGGGTAACACAGCTGTATCTCCTTTTGCAAGAGTATGATAAATGTGGTTAATCTCATCTTGTGGTCATGAGGGTCAGTCCATCGGATGTTGGAGGCCAAGCCCTCTCTCTGCAGAGGCTGTGCAGGCAGCAGTGACTTCTGCTGTGAAATGTCAGGCTCTTCTCTAGTTCTGCTTCCCACGCTAGGCTTGGCTCACATGGAGATGTTGCACGCTTCAAGAGCTCGAAAGGGAAAGGTCAGATTTGGTCCTGAGCTTGGACAATGCCCGTGGTAGATCCAAGACGGAAACCACCAAGAGATCAGGTCATCCCTTCCCACATGGGTGCTTCTGGCTCATTTCCATTTAGAGGGTGTTTGTTTTTCACTGGATGGCAATGAGATCCTGGAGTCCACCTTCAGCTTGACTAAGAGTGAGGTCAGGAGGCCCCATCTGCTCCCACCAGCAGGAGGGGAGCCCGGCACAGCCACCCCACAGCAGATCTGCTTTCCACAGAAAGCGTCTGTGTTTTGGTGATTTGTGGAAAACTGCTTTGCTCCTCCTCTGATCCAAACAACTTTTTCTAAGCATTTCAGACAACATTTCCCAGTTCTCTGCTGAAGAAAGCCAGGTATCATTTGTATGGGGTGGGTTGTTTTTTTTCCTTTGGAGGCCAAGTGAAAATTTCTTTCAAATCTGCAGTTTTTCCTCTGCAAGCGCCCTCCTTTTTCAGCCCTTTTACAGCCGCCCTGCGTTAGGGGACAGAATCATCCCAGGATAACTTAGATCTGTTTTTTGGGGGAGAAAATGTGAATTGTTGCTCAGGAGGGTCTGCTGCTTTTGTGTTTTCCCACAGTAGATCTGTGTTCCTGGGCTCGGTGGGTTTCCCCCATGGACCTTTATCATCTCCTGGCTGCATGGACTTTACCGGCTCGGGGGTGAAGTGTGAAGAGCAGAAACTCGCTGTGCTCTCAGGAGATGCTGCATCTGCTCCTCTCCTGCTCCATCCTCTGCGACTTTCAAGCAAATCACTCCGGCCCCAGCCGTCCTCCTCCAGGGGAATCACAGCTTCCTTGGTCACCAGGTGCTGGTAGAGGAACTTCAAGTTTTGCTGGTGGATTCACACGTCGAGGTGGAGCTGGGCTGTGCCACATGAGGGGCAGCAGCTTGTGGGAAAGGTACGAGCTGGAGAAATGAGTGGTGCTTTGAAAAAGCTGCTGTGGGCTCTGAGAACATGAGGGGAGCTCCTGAGGTGGAACCACAGGAGACGCCATGCAGATGGGCACCTGGGAGTGATGCTGCTGGGGATGCAGCTCCTGGGAGGGACTCGGGATTTGGGGGCCACCTTCTCTGTGCCCCCATCTCTGGCACCCCAGCCCTTGCTTTTATTTAAAACCATATCTATGTGCCGTGCCCTGTTAAGTAGTGAATCTGGGAAATAATCAGCCAGAGGCTTGAGCTTGTCCCCGCGTTGGTCTCTCAGATCTTCAGCGGCACAGAACTCCCCGGCTTGCTTCATATTCTCATTATACACAACTTGCCTGAATTTTATTGCTTAGGTAGCCATAAACTACAGAGCTTCAGATACCTCCTCACTATTTCCAGCCAGCAGTGAGCCCTGCCTTAGTCACTTTGCGATGCTCCAAGCCATCACCCGGGACAAGGCGTGGGCCACCTGTGAGTCCCAGCGTGGTCAGACACCTCCAGCTGGTTCTTGTTACAAGCTGGATGGTGGCCGAGGTGTGTCCTCCAGGCATTTAAACATCATCTCGGGTCATGGAGAAAGCAGATCTCAGGCAGTTAAAGCACCTCAAGGCAGTTCAGGAGGTGAGGAATATGGGAAATTCTTTTTCCTGGTGAGCTGGGTAGGCTGGAATGGATAAACTTTTGGGAAGCAAGGACTGTGGCAACACCCGCAGGTGGTGTTGGAGGGCTACGCAAGTTTTGGGCTCCCTGATACAAGTTTTCATCCTCCAGTTGGACCGCAAGGAGAGAATTTCCATCTTGGAAATGACTGTAGGGTAGGAACATTAGAAGAATAGTTCTTCATCTTCACGTCTTGCCCTGCTGAAGCTTTTTCCTCGGCAGACCCTGCTGTCCCCTCACACGGGATGGGTCCTGCTGCAAGGGACGCGGTGGTGCTTCCCTGCTGTAAGGGAATGTGGCCAGAAAAACACTGGGAGACAGCGGCTGGCAGGGTGTAGCCAGACCTGCCAGTGGCTGCTTCAGTGACTGTGTTTGGAGAAGAGCTTTGTAGAATACACCGAAGGTAACCCGCTGCCAGCTGTCATGATGCCAGGGTTGTAAAAACATATATATATATATGTGTGTGTGTGTATACAACACAACACTTGCAGGGGGAATAGATATTAGCATGTGAAGAAATGAATACACTTTGGCAAAGAAGGAATACTTTTTATAAGCTGAACTAGAAATAAAGTAATATTCAATATATTAACATTTTCCCTTTCCTTTCAGCGCTTGATACATGGTTTATACCCAGAAGAGGCAGGGCGTGAAGCCGTGGGAAACCTCCCCCATGGAAATGGTGGTGGTTTCTGGTGGAGCAGCAGCTGATGGTCCACACACCCAGCAGCTCCAGGGCTCCCACTGGCCACTGGGCAACAGCCAAGGGAAAGCTGTCACCGTCTGGTGGCTGTTGGGTGTCCAACGTGACATGGAGACACCGCAGGGGAAAGTGGAAGACAGACGGTTGAGTTACTCCTGAATCCAAATTCAGGTTCAGAGCCACGTGCTTTGCAACTGGTAAAGATTAAGATCTTCATTTTGGCATTTCTCCTGTGTTCTGGAGCCAGAGCTTGGCCTGTTTCTTCTCTGCGTGGGAGCTGGGGGAAGGCTGGTGTGCCAGATGGGTGTTTTTAGGTCACTTCCAGAGAAGTGGATTCGTTTCGATGGAACCAGCCCATGCATTGGCACTCAGCCACGTTGTGGTGGGGATGGAGGATGGTTTCCACCTTCCATTGTCTCACTGTCAGAAGTTTTGACCTTGCTCACACATCTATTAAGGCTTGATTTATCTTCACTGACGTTCAGACTCTGACCCTGCCAAGATCGTTGTCGGACCATCTCTGGGTTTCAGTGGCCAAACACTCAAAAGCAGGAGCGCCCATCAAGGGCTTCCTCTGCCAAGAGCAAACCAAAGACCAACCTGTGCTGAACTAATTCAATCCCTCTCTTCAGAAGGTCCCTCTGCTTTCCTGGAACCACCTGGTTCATTAGGAATTGGGCTTTTGCATGTATTAGAACTGTAGAGCTCTCATTCCCACAGGCACGTGGGGACGTGGTGGAATGAATGTGCATGTTGTGTCTTGATAATGTAGTTTTCTGGGGTTGTCAGACTTTTTGAAGGTGTGAAACGGGGACCAGTTTGACCTCACACGAGGCATTGGGTCCTTAACTAACTGTGCAATGCCATAGACATTTGTCCACCTAAAATACAGTATTAACACTAATCAGATATTATTTAGAAAGTATGTGGTAAGCGACAACTGCTGCACTGAAAATTAAATTAAGGCTGTTAAATAGATTTGAGTTTAAAGAAAACAACTTTTGGTGAAAAAAAATCTTTGAAGATACCTGTTTTAGTTCAGATTTCACATTTAAATTTCCTCAAAGATGTTGGCAGGGTTCATTTCTCCTTTGTACATGTAGCATATTTGTTCATCTGTGCTATTATACAGTTCTTTTCAAGCTGAGTACTCTACTGGAAGCCAGCAGCAGCTGAATTGAAGATATGAAACTGGAGGAGACCATATTTCATACTGCATAAAGTGCACCCCTGGAATTTTCAGTTCTTCTTTTCTGCAGTATTACAAATGCCTTTATAAAGTATCATGGCAGATGGGATTAAAAAAAAAAAAAAAGAGAGAGAAAAGAAAAAGAAAAAAAAAAAAGTAGAAAAAAAACCCTGCGGCTTTGGATATATTCACTTCACGTCTGTGGTTAATATTTCCCAGGCTGCTTAGAGGTGAGCGTGAGTTCAGTCATCGCAGCGCGGCCCCGCCGGCCTCGCCTGCTCTTTCTAAATGACTCTGATAAAAGATCGAGAAAAAAAATGGACCTGTGGCAAATGGCGTCATCCCTCTCGTGCATCTTAAGCTGGGGACACAAGGCGAGCTGCGTGTGTGGGTCACACTCAGCCTCCCCCCCCTCACCTCCCCTGTCCCCGCAGCCGCCGCTGCAGCCCGGCCCAGGGGGGGTGCAGCCCCCCTCATTCTGCTGTGAGTTAATTGTGTGACCGTGTGGCTCCAGCCGTGCTAGGAGGAGGGGGAAGGGTTTGACCCTGCAAGAGGGGAGATGGAGCTGAGCTGTGGGGAAGAACTTGTTTGGTGTGAGGGTGGTGAGAGCCTGGCCCAGGTTGGCCAGAGAAGCTGTGGCTGCCCCATCCCTGGAGGGGTTCAAGGGCAGGTTGGAGGGGGCTTGGAGCAACGTGGTGTGGTGGGAGGTGTCCCTGCCCAGGGCAGGGGGTGGCACTGGGGGGGCTTTAAAGGTCCCTTCCAACGCAAACAATCTGTGATTCTGTGATTCTCTGCGTTTTGCATTAGCTGGTGCTGATGCAGACACCAGATTTCTCTCTGATGGACTCAACAGGTGGGTGGAGGTGGGTGGAAGCCCCAGCCCCTGTGCACGGGATCCCCATCAGGGACAAGTGTGAGACCCATCTGAGCCAAGAAAAGCCTAGAACAGCCCTTCACCTTCTCACTGCCTCTGCCCTGAAGTATGCAACCGCCCTTTGAACTCCTTTCTTGCCAAAACACAAAGAGCTTTTTCCCTCTGCATCCTTGAGAGGTTTTCCTTCAACCGCTTTAAACTTCATTGCTAAAATCCACAGCAGATTGGGATGGAGCAGCCAGGACCCCCATCAGGGACGAGTGTGAGACCCGTCTGAGCCAAGAAAAGCCTAGAACAGCCCTTCACCTTCTCACTGCCTCTGCCCTGAAGTATGCAACCGCCCTTTGAACTCCTTTCTTGCCAAAACACAAAGAGCTTTTTCCCTCTGCATCCTTGAGAGGTTTTCCTTCAACCGCTTTAAACTTCATTGCTAAAATCCACAGCAGATTGGGATGGAGCAGCCAACAGGTGAGAAGACAAGTTACAAATTGGCACTGAAGAAATGCTTGCGAAAAAAGAGCCTCTCCATGAACGTCTTTAATCAGTGTGCATCGCCGGGGGTCACACTAGGAAGAAGGTGGGGGTCCCTGTTGGGCAGAGAAGTTGGAAATCAAAGCAAGCCCAGTCTCTGGGAGCAGCCCCAGGGCTGTCACCTGCTGAAGCAGTGCATGGGGTTGGTTGTTGTGGTGCTGAGGTACATGTATGTGTCTTGTTTATGTGTAAATATGAGAAAGCAGAAACATAAACCCTCCCACGTGCTTGGGTAGCCTGAAACAAAGCCACGCGGGCGCGTGTTTGGAGGGAGGTACCGCAGATGCTACAACCACAACGAAGGTGAGTGTCCCACTGCGCTGGTTTGTGCTGTCCCCACGGGTACAGGCCTGGGGGTTACGCTGTTCTGGGGGTGCCCAGTGATCCCCACCTGCAAACCTGATGTGCATCTGCATCCCAGAGCATCTCCTGGTGCTTCAGGCACACGTCGGGTCCCTCAGCCAGGGAGCTGTGCTGTGGATAGGAGTTCAGTGCATCCATCTCCCTTTGGGCACCAAACTGCCAGGGGTCACCTGGACCCGCAGTGCCCTTCAATCTGCTTCTTGCTTCTATCATTACACTTTCTTTTTCTAAACCAAAATAGCCCTTAAAGCTAACCCAAGTTATGGATCGCTTTGTTTTCAGCATTTTATCTCCTGATAGAACACACTGGGCAGCCCTGAGCCAAGCTTTGCAGCCAAGAGGTTACTTTCCCCATTGCCATTTCTGCACGAGAGGGAAAGGGTATCTTTAATAAGAGGTGCCCCGTGAACCAGTCCCTGCTCCATGGTAAAGCAGGAGTGATTGTACATGGAAGGGGGTGCCTGGATGTGAAACCAGCTGAGAAATATCCCAGCCACTTCTCTTTTCCCATCAGTAGATATTGCTTCAGTTCCCATTTCCTGACACTGCCTCTTTCAGCGGCTTCAGGCCCTTCTCACCAGTTGCTTGTCAAGGATTTCTGAGCCTCGGACCAAGACATACTGTGGCTATTTTAAATGAAGTCTTTGATATTCCTGTTGCATTTTGTCCTCAAACGGGCGTTTATCACCCTTGTTACAAAATGTTTTCCTCTTTTATGACCACAAGCCAGAGTGAGATATTCATACCACACTGTCCTCTGGCCATGGAAATAATCTATGTCCTCTCCTCTTGCCTACACCCAACTTTTCCCCACTCTTGTCACTAGACCCTTCTGCCAGCTTTTCTATCAAGCCTTGTGCCACTTCCCTGTCCTTTGATATTGAAGCAAAACAGACACCAACCTCTATCCTAAATACCCTGTAAAATGTGTGAGTCTCAGACTGTTAGAGGATCGCTTGGACACTTGCAGTGACTCGGGCTGGAGCTGGCCCAGTGATACCTGCGGTCACAATCCCATCATCTCGTTGCTGTTTTGCTGCAAGTTGGTGAGTTTTTGTGTGTTTAATTAGCGCTGGTTCCACCATCCTGCCCTCATTTTCCACCAGGGACAGTGCTGCCACTTTGGGCTCGTGGTGCACGATGGTGAGGAGGGGGAGGAAAGCGGTTCTTCTGATGGTGCAACACACACCTGGGCTCTGGGTGGTAATTCTTGCTCCTGTGGTGCTTGTGCTTTCCCTCCCCTGGGGTTCTCAGACCAAACACTCCTCGTAGCTGCACAGAAAATAACACAATTCAGTGTTTATTTTGGCCGAGAGCCTTGGTATTGCTTCAACGTAAAAATTCAGTAAGAATGTGCTTGTTTCCAAGAGAGCCTTTCATCAGGCACTTCCAGAAAGGAGCAGATTCAGCCCTGAGAGCCCAAGGCTGAGTCCCCAAGCTGGTCCCTCCCCACCCTGGGCATCCCGGTGCCCCCCTACCAGGGATGGGGAACCACCACCAAAGCTCCTCATAAACCACCTCCTGCGCCGCGCTGCTTGTCACCCCGATGGTAAACTGGGTGGGAAATGGGTAGGAAAGATGAGGCTGGGGGTTTGGGACCTGGCTCCCGAGGATGCTCAGATGGTCCCGCAGCAGCAACTGACCCCAAAACCCCCGACCTTTGCAGATATTCTTTTCAGAGCTGTAAGGAAAAGGAAATAGGAAGTGGAGCTGCTGTAATGCTTTTTTTTTGCTTTTTTTTTGGTACTGCTGCTGGGTTCTGGTGAGCTCCAGCGCGTTACTGTTTACCTTTGAGAGTGGCTTTTGTGTCCGTTGGTATTTGGATGTTGTAATCGGCAGCTGGAGCTCCTCAGTGGTGCTGGAGTGGTGTGTCCAGCTCTGGAGTCAGCACAGGAAGGACATGGAGCTGTTGGAGCAGGACCTGAGGAGGCCCTGGAGATGCTGGGAGGGCTGGAGCCCCTCTGCTGGGAGGGGGGGCTGAGAGAGTTGGGGGGGTTCAGCCTGGAGAAGAGAAGGCTCCGGGGAGACCTTGGAGCCCCTTCCAGTCCCTCAAGGGGCTCCAGGAGAGATGGGGAGGGACTCTGGATGAGGGAGGGGAGCCCTAGGAGGAGGGGGAAGGGTTTGACACCAAAAGAGGGGAGATGGAGCTGAGCTGTGGGGAAGAACTTGTTTGCTGTGAGGGTGGTGAGAGCCTGGCCCAGGTTGGCCAGAGAAGCTGTGGCTGCCCCATCCCTGGAGGGGTTCAAGGGCAGGTTGGAGGGGGCTTGGAGCAACCTGGTCTGGTGGGAGGTGTCCCTGCCCATGGAACTGCTTCTTCCTTTTTTATTTTATTTTTTTCATTCATAGACAGAAGCCACACTCTACTGGCTTTAGGCTTTCTTTTTATATTTTTTTCTCACTATTTCTGGCATTTCTTCTTTTTCACTGCACCTCTTCTTTGTTTCCACTGCACAGGACATTTCTCCTCCTGTCCTCTCCTTCTCTGGATGGGGGCCAGAGGGAAGGTCACGTCTGCCCCTGTATGAACTGGAATCTCATGCAACCAAGGAAAGAACTTCCAAAGCACCGAATGCCTCCTCCTCACCTACCAGAGGGCAACGTGCCCATTCCCCTCTGTTCCTATGTACTTCAGTAAGAAATGAGGAATTGTCTCCTGTGGCTGATTCTGGTAATAATGTGCATTAAAAGAGCCTTCAGAGGAGCTTCCCACAGTGTAAAGCGGGCAGTGTACCTCTCATGCTTTAATTTTCTGTGTTGGGATTATTTTGAGAGGCTTCCTGAGAAATTTAAAGTGCTTGTGTGCAGGGTCCAGTAAGTTTAGAGTCCTTTTTTTTTTTTGGAGTTTGATAAAGCAAATATCAAGGCAGCACCTGGTGCATAGAATGGCATTGCTAGTGTGAAAGACTTGGGTGGAAATGCCCTGTAAAGTGTATTTGGCTCTGCTGCTGAAGCTGATACAGGTGGTTTCTGAATGTGTTTTCTGGTTTCTGTATTCTCTCCACCTTCTACACTTCTGTGCACCAGAGAAGCACCACTGAAGGGAGGGAATGGCCATCGATGGCTGTATTTCAATGGCTGTGAGGTGTGGAAGAACAGATTTGCTACCAGAACTTATCTGAAACATAATCGAAACTTAACAAGAAAAGAGCTCTTCTGAGAGCGTGGTCTGGCAGCCAGCTGCTGATTGAGTAACGATGATAAACAGGTGGTAAATCAGTGCACTAAGCAGGAGGAGAAAGCAAAGAGCTGCACCACCACCTGTGTCTTGAGGGATAATTCACACAAGAAGGGACCTCTGGAAGGATCTGGTCTGAGCTCCTGCTCAGGCAGGGCAGTCACAAGGTCAGACCAAGTTGGTCTGGGCTGCTTTGACTCCTGGATA